TAAGGACCAGTACTTTTAGAGCTTGTTGGAAATGAATTAAGGACTGAAGCTTAGTTTAAGAAGGCAGATTTTGTAAAGTACCTGAATCGGAGATTTCCAATTTTAGTACCAAAACTGAGATATCCGTCTTCCATTGCTTAGAGCTCATCAATAATTCATTGCCAAAAACAATTGTTAGCCAAAAACTAGTTAAGTTCCCCCTGAATTACATTCCCCCTGAATGTATGCGCTAGGAATAAATCTCAAAATCATACTTGAATTAGGTATAATCAAGCATAGTAAGCACAATCAAGAGAAATATTAAGGCAATGTTTAAACAATTAAAGCAATGTTTAAACCAATAAAGCAATGTTTAAACCAATAAAGTAATGTTTAAACAAGAAGGTGTTTTCATCAAAGCAAATTAATGTTTTCACATACTTTTCCCCCTGGTTTGATGAAAAAAGCCTTCAGTGCTTCTTGCGCTTTGAAGATTCGGCAATCTCCCTGATGCCTTGCATGTTTCCACATAGTTCTTTGATGCGCCTTATGTTGTTGCGTCTCTCCTCTGTTTGATTTTCATTTGAGAAGTGAGCAGCAATTGTTCCTACAGCCTCTGTTCCATCCAATCCTGAGTTGGATAAGCGCTGTGTTGAGTTTTCCGGATTGCTTCTCTGAGCTTCAAGGACTAGATCAGTCAAGTTTAGATGCGTAGGAATGTAAGAGACTTCTCCTTCTTTGACTGCAATGGGGAGCTCTGGAATCAAGGATGGACTGTGTTGTTGAAGAACCACTTCCATCTTGCGATTTCCAGAATTTGTGGTAAGAAGTCTGGATAGTTTGTGTGCTTCCTTCAGATTGCCAATGATTACCTTCAAGTAGTCTTTGGTTACTACTTGATTTGCTGAAGACACTGCCAGAGCTGCTCTGATGTCCATTTGGAGAATGGACATTTGTTTTTGTAGACTGGCTGTGACATTTTCTATTTGCTCTCTGATTTTGTTAACCTTCTTGAGTTGAAGATAACTGTCAGATGCATATGTCTCCATCGTGTTGCTCACAGTGTTACTCAATAGATATAAGATCTCTAGACTTTTATCCACTGATTTGCTTATCTCCTTGAGATTGGAGCAGTGTATCACTTCGGATTTCTCAATCAGTTTGTTGTGCCTGGCTTCCATCTGCTCTATCTCTTGCCTAAAGGAGGCATGTTGAGATGCTAGGGCTGATTCAATCAGCCCTTGGACCTTCTTTGTCCAGATTTCCGGTACCTCATCCGGAAGAGTAGGAATGGAAGAGCTATCGAAATGGAAGTTGGTTACCTGATGAGAAGAGGGTGTTCTTTGGAAGAGTTGCATAGGAAGAGATTCAGCATCATCTTGTACATCTTCTTCATCATTGATCTTCAGAGTCCTTTCAGATTCTTCTTCATCATTGATCTTCAGAGTCCTTTCAGATTCTTCTTCTGTTCTTCAAAAATGGCTACTGGAGATTTGGAGGCCTCCAGTTCTGCCATTTGAGTTTCCTTCTCAGCTTCTACAGAACTTCTCTGGGCTTCTACAGCTTGCTCTTCTTGAGCTTCATTTGTTTCTGGAGTTTTGGACATCCCCAGATTTTCTGCTGATTTCTCCGGGATCTCAGTTTCAGTAGGATTGGTGATCTCACAAGGATTTGTGAGAATCTCTAAAGCTTCAGAATGGTGAAGTTGCTGGAGTTCTTCATTTGATCCTTCCTCGTTCTGTTTTTGTGGAGTAAAGACTGCAGCTTCAGGTAGAGCAGTTTCAAAGGAAGATGAGGTTTCCAGAAATATTTGGAAATCCTCAGCTGTTGTTTCCAAGTTAGCCTGTGCTTCAGAAGTAAGAACCACCTGGTCTTCTGTGGTTTTTGAGAGGACTGGTTTGTATACTGCAAGATCCTCATCATCCACTTTAAATTCTGAAATTGGTGAGGTGACCAAGTGTTCCAGATGCAAATCTTCATAGTTCCTTTGCCATACCCAGTCAACATCCAGGATTTGCTCACAGCAATAGTTGACTGGCAGACCTAAGCATTTCTTGATGATCTTCTCATTCTTCAGTTGCTGGTCCCAACTCAGCAACTGTTCTGCTGAATTTCCAACTTTCCAAGCTCTCCAGTCATAGTAGAGCTGCTAGAATTGATTCTCAGCATCATCAATTTGAGGTTGTGAGGAAGTTGGAGAATTGTGAACTTGAGGAATTTCTTCTTCAAGTTGTTGAGGACTCCGGTTGTGGGCAGAGGTTTCCTCAGTTGGTTCCTTCTCCTTCAACTCATCCGGATTGACATGTCCAGATGTTGAGGGAGAGGTGATTTTCCTCTTCTTTTTCCTTTGTAGTTCTCCTTGGTTAGAGAATTCTTCTTCTTCTTCAAGATTGATTGGAGCAAGATTTTGTGGTGCTTCAGCACTGGGAGAGGGAGACACCACTTGCTTCCTCTTTACTGACTTGTTCAGGCTCATGATAAGGACATTGTCTGAAGAACTTTCCTCTGCAGTTGTGCTAGCACCAGCTCTGTTTTCCCCTTTGGAAGATAGATAGTATAGCCAATATCTGGCTTCATACTTCTTGCCCAGAAATTCCAATAATGTTCCAATCCAGATTCTTAGCTGGAAGTCTCCCAATTTCAACTCCAGAATTGGGAAGGTGAAGGTTTTCTCCCAATTTCTTCTACGAAAGCTTCACTTTTGTCCCTTGAACAGTGGAATTGATGACTTGAATCGTCCTTTGTGGGTCCTTCTTCGATTTGACAGTCTTGGCCTTTCCATTCTTGTAGAATTCAAGAACTTCGTTCTCATACTTGAATCGAATCTCCATATGAAGGAATTCGGAGAGCTCTTGAGGAGCAATCATCTCCAGATAGGATTGATAGAACATTGGTGAGGAGCACTTGGCTTCCAACTTCTGGAAATGGATATTAGCGCCAACAATCTTCATTTTCTCAGAAATTTGAGTGAGAAGATCTGAAGAAATTAGGGTTCTTGAGAATTTTATCAGAAGGTTCTCGTGAAGAAGACGATGAAAAATTTGAGTGGGCAGAGTGGGCAGTTGAGGTCTGATTATAGTGACGATTGGGTTTAATTTGGGCGATTTATGCGGCTAGTGGCGATTGGGTTTTTAACTGTTCCCAAGGCCACGTCCCCACCCACCATTTTGACAGACGTGGAAAATGAACTGCCACGTGTACCGCACTCAGTCTAATTGAATTAGACCAATTTTGTGAAGCAAATCAGAAAACTTGGCTTCACTTAGTGGTTTTGTGAAGATATCCGCCAGTTGTTCTTCAGTTGAGATATACTCAATTTTGATATCTTTCTTTTCCATGTGATCTCTGATGAAGTGATGCTTGACATCAATTTGCTTAGTGCGAGAATGATGCACTGGATTTTGTGAGATGGCTATAGCACTTTGATTGTCACAAAAGATTGTCACTTCCTTTGTCTTGACTCCATAGTCTAGTAGTTGTTGCTTCAGCCACAGAATTTGAGCACAACAACTACCAGCAGCAATGTACTCTGCTTCTGCTGTTGATGTAGAAATGAAGTTTTGTTTCTTACTGAACCAAGAAACAAGATTTCCACCAATGAGTTGACAAGTACCAGATGTACTTTTCCGGTCAACTTTGCATCAGGCAAAGTCAGAATCTGAGTATCCCACTAACTCAAATTAATTGCTCTTAGCATACCACAAACCCATGTTCTGAGTTCCTTTGAGGTATCTAAGAATTCTTTTAGCTGCTATCAGATGACTTTCCTTTGGCTTTGACTAGAATCTGGCACAAACACCTACTGCATATGAGATATCCGAACGGCTTGCAGTAAGGTAGAGTAGAGATCCAACAATTCCTCTGTAGAGAGTTTGATCTACATCCTTTCCATCTACATCCATATCAAGCTTGGTGGATGTACTCATGGGGACAGAAACGGATGACTTCTGGTCAACTTTGAATTTCTTGATAAGATCCCTTGTGTACTTGGCTTGGTTGATGAGAGTCCCTTCACTTCTCTGTTTGATTTGAAGGCCAAGGAAGTAGTTGAGTTCCCCCATCATGCTCATCTCAAATTTTCCTTGCATGAGGGTTGAGAACTTGGTGCAGAGATCTTCCTTAGTTGAGCCAAATATGATGTCGTCCACATAGATTTGGACTAATAGGAGATCTTCTCCGTCTTGTAGTTTGAACAATGTCTTGTCAATGACTCCTTTGATAAATCCATTGTTTATAAGAAATTGAGACAATGTGTCATACCAAGCTCTCGGAGCTTGTTTGAGTCCATACAACGCCTTTTTGAGTCTATACACTTGATCTCCCTTAGTGTGTAACTCAAATCCTGGAGGTTGTTCCACATAAACTTCTTCCTCGAGGTTTCCGTTGAAAAGTGCGCTTTTGACATCCATTTGATAGACTTTGAAATCCTTATGAGCAGCAAAGGCTAGAAACAGCCTTATAGCTTTAAGTCTAGCAACTGGAGCGAAGGTTTCATCAAAATCTATACCTTCTTCTTGACAATATCCTTTGGCAACCAACTGGGCTTTGTTTCTGATAACAACGCCGTTTTCATCCATCTTGTTCCGGAAGACCCACTTGGTTCCAATGACATGTTGATGAGTAGGTCTGGGAACAAGTTTCCAGACGTCATTTCTGGAAAATTGGTTGAGTTCTTCTTGCATTGCATTGATCCAATCAGAATCAGCTAGAGCTTCTTCAATATTCTTTGGTTCCACTTGTGAGATGAAAGAAGCAAACATAGCTTCTAGATTCTGCTGAGCACTTCTTGTGCGAACGCCAGATTGAATATCTCCAATGACTTGTTGGGGAGGGTGATCCCTTAACCAACGAAGATTGTGCTGATTAGGATTGACTGGTTGTTCTAGTTCAGCTTCTGGTTGAAGAACAGAAGTTGGTGTTTCCGGATGGATTGGCACTGGGTCGCCATTTCCGGAATTGTCGCCAATTGAGTGATCCGGAATATTGAAAGGCTGGCCAAGATTTCCGGTAGGCTCAACACTGTTTGAATCCAGATTTCTCTGTGAAGTCTTCAGTGGTAGACTTCTGAATGGGATGAACTCCGTAGGCTTCATTCTATCTCCTTCATTGACTTCTTCACTCTTGTCAGATAGACCCAGAACCTCATGATCATGCTTTGATGGCATGTCAACCACATGTTTTTCATCAAAAATAACATTTATTGACTCTTCAGTGATCATGGTTCTTTTGTTGAAAACTCTGAATGCCTTGCTCACCATAGAGTATCCAAGGAAGATGGCCGCATCTGATTTCTCATCAAAAGTGTTCAGATGATTATTCCCGTTGTTTAACACAAAGCACTTGCTCCCAAAAATATGGAAATATGATATATTAGGCTTTCTCCCGTTCCATAGTTCATAGGGAGTTTTGTTGTGCCTTTTATAAATCATACTCCTATTTTGAGAATAGCAAGCCGTGTTAACAGCTTCAGCCCAGAACCTCTTTGGTAAGGAAGCTTCTGCTAGCATTGTTCTCACTGCTTCCTTTAGGGTTCTGTTCCTTCTTTCCGCTACACCATTCTGTTGAGGCGTCCTTGCTGCGGATGTCTGATGAAGAATTCTGTTTTCTTCACAATAATGAATGATGATTTCATTCAGGAATTCTGTGCCTTTGTCTGATCTGATCTTCTGAATGGTCTGACTTGCTTGGTTTTGAATCAGCTTCATGCAGTTGGTGAGTTTCCCTTGAGTCTCCTTCTTGCTGTTGAGGAAGATTGTCCACGTGTATCTTGAGTAATCATCAACTACCACCAGGACATATTTCTTTCCACTTAGACTTATTGGTGTAACAGGGCCAAATAAGTCCATGTGAATAAGACTTAATATCCATGTAGTTGAGGGTGCCGATTTTGCCTTGAAAGTAGATTTGACTTGCTTTCCTTTCTGGCAAGCATCACAAATGCTTTCCTTCCTGAATACAGCTTTGGGAAGGCCTTCTACTAACCCTTCTTTGGATAGCTTGTTGAGAGTTTTGAAGTTGAGATGACTCAACCTCTTATGCCAAAGCCATAGAAGGTTAGTGTCACCTTTGCTGATTAGACATGCTTCCTTGACATCGTTCCATATCACTTCATAGATGTTTCTGATTCTCTTCCTAGTGAGAATGATTTCATTTGTGGAGATGTTCTTGAGAGATGCCATGTCCTTGCAGAATTCCAAGGAGTAACCTTTATCACAAAACTGACTTATGCTAAGAAGGTTTTAATTGAGTCCTTCAACATAAGATACAGCTTGGATGGTTAGTCCCTTGTACACCAGATTTCCTAGCCCTTTAGTAAGGCCAAAATCGTTGCTTCCTCCAAAAGTAACTGTTGGACCATCATAGGGAATTAGATTGTTCAACAGGCTCGCATCACCCGTCATGTGTCTTGAACAGCCACTGTCTAAGTACCAGACACCTGCGTACTTAGTGGCTTCCTGCATTAGGAGGAGGAAGATTTTGGTACCCATTTCAGTTTGCGTCCGGAATGGTTAATGGTGTGTGTCCCTACATCAAGTTTGAAGTTGCAAGGAATTTTCCTTGCAGCTCTAAACTTGTTGGGATTGTAATCATAGTTGTAGGCATAAAACTTCCTACGTGCAAGAGGTGCAATTTCCTGTTTCCTCCTAGCAAACCTAGGTTGATAAGACCTATAGTTTTTTCTAGGTTGTGCATAGTGTGACCTGTGTTGGTTATAAGCATACTTAGGTGGCACAAATAGTTTCTAGGGTGGAGGATGACTATATCTTGGCATAGTTCTCCACTCAGAATTTCTCGGAAAACTCATGTCTACCCCATAATGAGTATAGCCTCGTGTATATTGGGGGTTAGAAGGTTTTCTTCTGAAATTGTTTCCTTTTTGAGGTCTGTCCAGCTTCCTATAGTTCTTAGGAGGGACTACCTTTTTGGGAACTTCTGTTGGTTTCTCCTTTTCCTTCCCTTTCTGCTTATTTGGTTTGGCAGTAGGTTTAGGAGGGATGAAAGTTGTTTTCCCTTTCCTTTTGGAACTAGAGGGGTCAAACCCAAGTCCTTTGCGACCCTTTTGTTTTTTCGTTTCAAGAAGCTTGTTCACTGCTTCTTGGGACTTAAGTATCCCTAGCTCTTTGTCAAGGGATTTCACCTTTTTAGAGAGAGATTCATTTTCAATCTTGAGTTGAGTGATCTCATTCAGTTGACTTTTCCGACTTTCAGTCAACTTGAGATTCTCTTCACTCAATAGTTTGTTCTCTTCTGTTAAGGATGAGTGTTTGAGATTTATCTCCCCAAAATCTTTCATCATCTTTTTGAACTGGTCAAAAAGATTTTCAGAAGTTGGTATGCTATAAGAAGATGAGCAGGAGGTTTGTGAGGTTACCTCTTGATCAGCATCATCTTTGGCGATTAGGCAGAGAGTGTCATCTTCTGACATAGTCCACCTATCCTCATGGTTTGACTTCCCAACTCTGCGCTCCATGCAGACGAGGGCTTCTTCATCCGAGCATGAGCTGGATGACTCGTCACTTTCAGCAGCAACCATTGCTTTCTTTTTCTTCTTGTTCCTTTCTCTTTCTCCGTACTTCTCCACCTTTGGGTACGGGCATGCTGACTTCCAGTGGCCAGGCTTCCTGTAGTTATAGCATAAATAAGATTCAGGAGGGGAGTCACTTACTTGTGTCTTTCCCTTGGATGGCCTTCTGACTGAATCAGCCTTCTTGAAGAACTTCTTGAACTTTCGGAATTGTTTGACCATCATGGCAAATTCCTCATCGTAGTTCTCCATTTTTGAGCTTGACGGCTGGCTGGAGGAAGGTGTGTCACAGTTTCTTGTGCATGTCCCTTCACTTGATGGGATTCTTGGAATTGTCATTAATGCCATGGGGAAAGGAGTGACTTGTTCTTCCTTCTTCTTCTTCAGCTCGTGCTCATAGGTTCTGAGTTCATCAAGGAGACCTTGAACAGTGTAGTTCTCCAAGTTTCTTCCTTCCTCCATGGCTGTGGCTTTGGTGTACCACTCAGTTGGAAGTGATCTTAGGAACCTTACATTCTTTTCTTTGGGAGAAAGAATGTGGTTAAGTGAAGCAAGATCATTCAATATCTTGTGGAATCTTTCATCCAACATATCAAATGATTCTCCGGGAAGCATTTTGAAGCTTTTGAACTTCTCAAGCAGGACTTCTATCTTCTGCTTTCTCAGGTCCTCTGATCCCTCACATAGCTTCCCAAGACCTTGCCAAATCTCCATGGCAGTCTTGAGATGTTTAATCTTGGAGAAGGTGATGGGATCAAGTGTCTTGAAGATGGCTGCTTTGGCAACGTTGTCCAGATTGTGCTTTTTGCAATCTCTATCATCCCATTTTTCCTTGGGCTTTGGAATGTACTGGACTACATCTGGAGCAGCTAGATTCCTCTCAGGGTTCTCCATTTGGATTTTCAAGGGTCCATCCTCAAGCACCC